TAGTTTAATCCTTTGTCGAATTGGACGACAAGTCTATCCAACGGAGCAGCGATTACATGAACACATTATGCTATAGCAACTCGATCGGAATAAAGGTTTAACTTTCTCTCTAAAAGTGAGCATAACGCAAGAAATCACTTTCAACTTGACTAAAGAGCTCAGATATAGCAGATATATACAGTATTTATGGATGAACAGGTGAGTTTTTTTGTTCGTTAACTTGAATATGGTTGTAAGAATGATATCTTGCTCTGATGATTTCCGTCATTCGACGGGCGAGAGATTAGCACTTTTTCACCGAAATCGAAGAATATTGCCTAGGAAACAGCGCCATTAGCCAATCGACAGCTGGCCAAGAGGAATCTGCCGTCGTTTTCTGGTGGGATAGACCTTTGAATCTGTTCCTCAAACATTTTTACTCGAAATGGAAGTTAATTCATCACTGTAGCCAGTCGAACCCTTCCTGATACACACTCCAAATAGTGCGCTTTCCTTACTTAAGGTAATATGAAACTTTTATGGTTTCGGAGGAGTTAATGCATTTTATGTTTGTTTCAATATCTCACTGGTCAAATAGCATTTCAGATTCACACATGCAAATGCCTAAACTAATTTATGTATTTGTACCAATCATGATTATTCAGAAACATTGACTATTCAAAACACCTACTCCTCTACAAAATTTTAAGTAGATGATTTGGTTTCCTGAAATGGTGCCGGCTTGAAGGGTTTCCAGGCCTCCAGATGTATAAGCGATAGTTCAAATGGGGCACACTGTTATCCTCTATCTTTTATTCGTATAAACTGAAGTAGAAGACAGATCTTGTAAACAGGTTTGCAAGATTATCAATAGATCATATTTTTATTTATTTTTTCTCTTTTTATTTTGTTCAAGAATGAGGTCAAGACTGTAGTCCACCTTGGATGAGAATTTTCTTTGGGAAGGCAATGGTATGTGCAATTCAATTGAAAAGTAGGGTCTACTCAAATGATCATGGGAAAATTCAATTACCAGTCCCCCAATAACCTTGAACAAAATGGGGTGAATACATTTGAACTATATCATCAGCTAAAATCTATCACATTCATATAACATTTGCACCATTTAACTTCCCTCAGTTCGATTAAAAGTCGAATAAACTCTGGGCAAGTGAAGCCAAATGTGAATATGGGCAAAGAGGATATAGTCGATCTACCCATTGATCCCAGTTGCCAGAATATCGCTGGGATATTCAAGCAGCAGAGCTTATTCTCTGGCCTCCCCGGAAATTTGCGCAGTCGTCAAAAAGATTTTTGTTAGAATAAATTTGAGTAAAAGAATGACCGGCTATAAAGTTCGTTACATCTGCTTACAGTAGTCATTACATCAGTTGTAATGGCCATAATAAGTAATAAAAAATGTCCATCAATCCTGGGTAGAGAATGAGCAAAGAGGTAAATACTCATAGGGTATAGCTAGATAGATGCATCTGTTGCATTTGTAATACAGTTGCTAATGCATAATTAAATATTCTCATCAATCCTGAGTAGAGAAAGTAAGAAGTTGGGTGAATGAGCAAGCGAAACATTTAGTTAAAATGGCTCCTCAACCAGGTAGAATGTGGGAAGTTCTGGCCGAAAATACTCTTTCACATACACATTGGCAGACAGGATTTGAGAGATTACCGGTAAGCATCGAAGTATGCTAGCGTGGTCAGCACAGATAGTTGGCCTGACATGTTTGCGGGTGTGTGGGCAGATAAAAATGAGGAATTGAGAGTGTAGGCAGGCATGTTGTTGGGTGCAAACACAGACGTCGCGACTATTGTATCTGGGCTAGCAGGATGGTTGCGGCAACTTCGGATGGAGAGGAAGCTGAGCGCTTTGGGAGTGACTCTCGCTCTCTCTTTTTCTCTCTTTCTCTCTCTTTCTCTCCACCTCAGCTACCTGCGTGTGTATCCTGCAGAGCATTGGAAAGGCGTATGTGAGAAGCATCATTTACTGGCATACAAGATGGGGGTAGCGATAAGGCTGGCCAAGTGTATGAAATGTCCGAGTCTGAATTTTTGCCTTGGGGGAAATATCGTGTGTTCACAAGAGCGGCAAAGCCAAGAGAAATCACATCGAAATGGTCCTGATGTACGAGTACGGCCGTTTGTGCAGAATTGGATGTGTTTAATAAAAGAAAACGAAACAAATGGCTTCCGCGAGGCTGGTTGAGGAGGATTGAACTCGAAATTGAGGATGATACGAGACCAATGTACTTATGATGCATGAGCTATCAGTGGTAGAGGAATATAGAAGAAATTGGCGCTCCCCTACGGCAGGAGTCGGGAGGTGAGTTTCGTGCAAAAATTTGGTTACTGAAAATGCTGTAGATATAGAAAGAAAAGATGGGCCTCGAAGAATCTCCCAATAATGGAATATGATTAGACTCTTCATTTTGAAGTAAAAGTTAGTTGGTAGGGATTCATGAATTATGAGATGTTTTGACTCTATTACGTTTAAGGTAAGGAAGGACTGGTAGTTGAATTTTCCCAAAATGATACGAGTAAACCTTGCGTTTGCATTAAATTTCGCATAGAACATCCCAAAAGATGTTCTCGTCCTGGCAAGAGTGAACTATATTTTC